AATATTTTAAATAACATAGTTTATATTACATTATTAATATCAAATTTTAACCTTAATTATTATTATTTTAATATTTAATGTGTTATTTAAATAAAAAAATGAGTTAACTAAATCAAATCAACTTTATTTAAAAAGTGACATATCTAAATTTAAGTAAAAAAAAGTATAATTCAAACTAAAAAAGCAAACAGCTCATTTTAAATTGGGTATTTTTTTCCCAAAAATTATGTGATTAATTTAGTTTTGTCAACTAATAAAAAAAAAAAATCCCCAAGAGCTCAAAAAACGGCGAAAAAAATATGTGACGTGAACTCAACGGGGTGGGGTAGACATGAACTATTTTCTATTTATACACCTTGGCAGAGCACCCACCGTTTACTAAAATCCAATTGGGCTGGTAGTTGGACAATTCAGGTCCAACTCAAAACGGGCTTTTTGTTATCCAACTTGAGTGGCTCAAAAGGCCGAAAGAGGCACAGAAAGGATATTGATTTCACCTCTCCGAGGTTATAAGTTGTCGAGGGACTTCCCGGGATGACCATTGTCAAGAATTGGGGAAGAAGAATATATTCCCAGAATCCTCAGTATGGAGGATTCCAGTGAAGCTTAAGAATTGATTTTTTTTTAATTTTATTTTTTGTGTGTTGGAAACTGGTTGACTAGTTTATTTATTTGATTCCTCATGTATTTGCTTTTTTTATTGGTACATCTTCATCTAGTTGCTTTTGTTGCTGAATCAATTTGATGATGATTTATCAGGTGCTTGAGGATAGTGTTTGAGATGGTGTCTATATTTCAAGTCTCATATATTATGCTTGCCCAACTGAAGTCCTGTGGCATGAAATATCTTAAATAAATGCAGGGGCTAGCTTTTACATTGTTGGTGGAGACCCTGCTGGAATGTGGCCATCAACTTTGTGAGGAAATAAGCAGGAGAGAAAAATATGAAGAAAATGCTTTTCTTGATTCATTTGAATATACAAAGTGCTTATTTATAGGCTTGTACAAAAGAATATTATGTGATACAAAATCAATTAATTTAATTATGTCAATCAATTATAATCTGAATATAATCATAGCAATGTGGACATAATCAAGGGAGAATATTTTGTAACATCTCTCAAACTCAAGGTGGTGAAGATGAGACTAGCTTGAGTTTGGAAAGAAGAATGCAGAAGCGTCTAGGAAAATGAACCTTAGTGAAGAGATTTGCAGGCTAATCAGCAGAGCCAATAAAGACCAAGTGGACAGTACCTTTGGCAACACGATGTCGAATAAAATGACAATCAACATCAATATGTTTTATGCGTTCATGAAAAACATCATTGTGAGTAATTTGTAAAGCACTTTGATTGTCATAATAAAGATCAGTAGAAGATGGTTGGGAAACAA